CGAGGACAGACGCACAGACGTGCGTAAGCGAGCGTGCGCACTGGGAGAGCCAGTGGGGAGCAATGACAACCGCCCCTTAAATAGCGAGGCGCTAGCAGAACGGGGACTCTGTTGTGGACACGCTGCCTAGACGAGACCGACCACAGAAGGCTACTGCTGGACACACGGACCAGAGTTCATGTACTAGTACAAGTGATAGTAAAGTACTAGCTGTTATCCTATCCTGTTTTCTCTTCCTAACACGTACTGGGGGAACATAACCGGTGTTGACACAGGAACACACTCGGTTGCAACAGAAGCGTACTACTTTTGATTCTGAAAGCCAACAACATGAAGACGGTTGAATCCTGAATAATGAGAGGAAATTACACAATTGATTTACTTTACCCCCCTACGGAGGAGAGAGTTCATACGCTGTGTAAATGTCTGGATATCGGTACAGATTAGTCAACCGAGTTCAGGTTTGGTCAGACATGCCGAGAGGGAAATATTTTTAGTGAGAAGTCAGTGTTGTGATATTCTAACCTATGGGCTGTCTTAAAAAAGTGCGCGCATCCGAAACTCCCAGTTTCTGGTGGGGGGGGATGAGTGTGAGCTGTGTCCTCCTTTTAACGTGCGCTGCATGCTCAAAGAGATGCAACCTTAACTGCTTGAAAAGGGCGCTGTGCTGCACGAGTTGAATGCAGCTGTATACATTTACATTGTTATCGCGTCCTGACTCACCTCGATCATCTTTATAAACTTTGGAAAGAGCGGATTGCCGGTTATTGCAATGACAGGAACGCAGGGAAAGTTGTTGGGAATATTCTGAGCGGTCAGTGCGAAGGGGTGTTGGGAGTCTGGAGGGGCGCCGGGGGGTCCATCCGGGGGACTTGCGGCGCCCGGTTTACTACTGTCTTCTGGGTGTCCACCGTCTGCGGAGGAATTACCATCTCCACCGGCCGTCGAGTAGAAGCGAGTAGTACTCCAGGCTGACAAATTCTAGGAACAAAGGCAGCGCAGGTCATGATTTGGCGCAGGCAATTAGTAAATATGTGTGTGCGCGTGGATAATTATGAGTGGATCCAGTAACTCGGACAATTATGAATTGTGGCGTAAAGCGGGCCGGAAGCACGGGCCAGTATATATTCCTATTTGATCATTTTATGTGTGAGGGGAGGGGAGGGGGGGGTTAGGTCATGTGTGACAAGATTTCTAGCTCTATTAGTCAATACACTCAGTCCCGCCTCCAGTGTTCTTGACTTGGTCATGACAACAAGCTCAGGAGGGTGAGGCAGGAGTGTGTTTCAGAGGCCGCGCGATTCTATCGCTAAAAACTTACTCACGCTCACTTACTCATGTTCGAATAGGGCAGACAGAATGGGGCAAAGTAAGTTATCGTACTTAACTGCACTTGATATGACTGTGATCATGCCTGCTGTAGCCAGCCTTAAATGTGTCACGGACGGTGCCTTTCACGTGTGACGATTAGCGGCAACGGATCTGGAAACCTCCACCTATTCTTTTCTCCAGCTACGGATACCGAAAACTGTAGGTCCAGCAACCGCTTCCATGTCCTGACCAACGGTGTCTAACCTAGTCTTGAATTGCCCTCCTTTTCGACGCTTCCAGGTGGGCTGCGGCGCCGGATCGCGGACAGCATAACAAGGCTCGTGAGGCGGACGACGGAGAACGTGTCCAAACCACCGTAGTTGTCTAGCTTGGATAGCCTGAAATATTCTCGCGATACTATCGGACTGCCTTCTTTGAAACGAAGTCCGTATACTTCACTTGAAGGATGGTCATAAGGCAGTGGTGATCAAATACCTGCAGTCTTCGCAAATCTTCAACGCGCAAAGGCCAGAATTCATACCCTTAGAGGAGGGTTGACCGGACGAATACGCGGTACACACGGATATTTGTGGAGATATCATATACGTAATAAATTTTGAAATACGTTTTATGCCACAGCTTTTTGCCTGCCCAAATAGCACCGTGTTCGAACTCAGATGGTCATATTCAATTCTCGTCAGGCTATTTTAGAATACGGCAGCAATTCCGGCAGGTAGGTGGCCAAGAGGGGGAGCCATTGCAGGCATTTAAAGAGCAAAGAATTTGCTCTTTTCCGGATCTCAACAACATAATGTCACGCGACAGAGCATGGGTTTTCGGGCGACTTAATGGAGTGTCTGGTGCAATTATTAACGGAATCCAAGTGCAAATAGCACGTCATTCCGGTATCTAGTTTGGAAATCTCTGACCAGCGACGACGAACAAAACTCCACAGACAGGAAAGAAGAATCACACTTGTACTTCGCTCGGCTGTGATCTTAATGGGGCCTTGTCTGACACCTGTCCTAGCATGGCAACCAAAAAGG